ACATAATTATTAAGGTTTTTTAAACACTGTAATAAAGTTTCACACTATTAGATATCCTAATGATGTTATTACACATAATTATTAAGGTTTTTTAAACACTGTAATAAAGTTTCACACTATTAGATATCCTAATGATGTTATTACACATAATTATTAAGGTTTTTTTTTGTCATTTCCTGGATTTAATTAAGTATGAGTACCAATAATGAAACATTTTAAAGTTTTCATTAAGGCACTGTTGAATTGTGAAGTAACAAATTATTTAAAGAACATTACAATCTTTACTACTTGCACTTAATTAACTGTTATAGAATTTCTTGAACATAAAGATTCTCCTAATGTATCTTGATCACCAGATTTATTCATTTTTGTGGGAAATTCAACAGTCTTTCTTGCTGCCATTAATAGCTTTACAGAACTTTTCATGTCTATACATTTACTTTCTTTAAAACTTGTTAAAAGTAAAAGTGGACCACTGTAGTATGGTAATCACCTTTAAATTTATCTCTCATTAGTGTAAGTTCGTACTACAGCCAGTTTAGTGTAATATAATGTCATTTGTATTTACTATTCTTGTTCCTTGATTCTTATTCGTAGGGTTTTACTTTCGGCTGCTTGCTCCACATATGTTTGATCTACAGTATCAATATTGTCCAATTACATTATTCGCTTATTTTGTTGTTGTTGTTGTACTAACCTACTGCCCAACTTTAATATTAAGATAAGGTGTGGAAAAAAGATTAAATAATTCACAATGGAGTTACAAAGAGACATTTTAAGAGTTTATAGGAAACCGAAAAATACAACTGCTCCATCTTAGACTGCCTGTATTCAAGAATTAAAATGATTAGTAAAACTGAATCACTAAAATGGTCATTACAGAAGAAAATTATACACACAGCCAAAATCCCCTTTGTCAGGAGGGATGTGTGAACATAAAGTCAGTATTCACAATACTATAATACAACCTTTGGAATACACTGAAGAAACAAAGATCAACAACAGTTACTAAACATACAAGACTCGGTAACTACCATATGGTAAAATGGAATAATACTGAATAGGATATGAAAAATAAAAGAAACCAACCAGATGTACTAGCAGTGATTGGCTGGATTGTCATTGGAATTTTTCAGATCAAGTAGAAATAAAAAAACAAACTATTTTCCACATTTCTGAATTCAATGTTAAGTTACTTTTTTACAGGCAGTAATGTAGTGTAAAACTGAAGTTAGTCTATCAAATGGCTATTAAAAAATATTTTAAATATGTAGACATACACGTCTTTGGGCAGCTCTTCTCAAATGGTGCATTAGAAACCAAAGCATCTGACCATCTTGTAAATCGGGTCCATCGTTGTTCCGTTCTTCTTCTCTTTCCTTCATGTTTCTACTAATAATCTACAAATAAAGGAATTAACATATTTATAATTATTATCAACAACTTAAGAGTATTACTAATTAGAAATGATTAAACCAAGTTATTAATCTCTGATCAAAATCCTTAGTAATGAATATAGCTCATTTATTAACTTCTCACTTGTTCTTATTCGTAATATCCATCAGCTGTAATCCCAATAGTATCTCAAGATTATACCAGCATGAATTTGTTAGTTCTAAATCCACATTCTGATGCTTATAATAGTAATAGATATATTGAACACACGAACACGTTTCTTTATGCACTTGACAACAGTATATACAAAAGTTAACAATCAAAGAAAGCCCATTAAACAGGTGTGGCAACGTTATGTTAGAGCAACTTAACATCCAAGATAAATTACGAAGTATACGTACCCATGAGTAGAGTTTCGAAAAAGTTTGAATGGGTACTGAAAGAAATTATTACAATTACCAAATGTACGACAAGCTTTCGTTACTTATCATCGAATGTTTACCCACAAGTACTTTATTTTTTTAGGCTCGCAGACGAGGACAACAGGATGAAAGTTCAGACAGTGATTCTGAAACTAGCGAGAGCGAAGATGTAGACACACAGTCCTCCATCCAGTGTGCCCAATCATAATTGGGACCTTGGTGTATACAGCTGGTTGAGAGATGATATAAAATTTTACTTTACATTTTGTGTTTTAATATAAGGATAATATATTTTGAATACTGTAATATTTCTCTAGCAGTGCCGATTTTCTGTGAAGTTAATAGTTTTAGATTAATAACAATTTACTAAGTGCTTCAGCAATGAAAATGTAGTGGACTTGTGTATAAAGGTCATATTTAATTATTACTTATGGTGTTAGTTGCAAGCTTTCATGTAACTACCTTGTACAGTGAATTGGAATATTATTAAGTGTAAAAAAAAAAGAGGTATTGTTTTTTAAGATTTACACTTACGTTCAATATGTTAAATTACTATTTTGAAAGATTTTATTGGTAGTGTACAAATTATAAAGGGTTTCGATACAAAATAAAAACAAAGTGCCATTGTGAAATTACTTATTATTTTAGACAGGCAGTACAAATATATATATATATATACAAAATTTGAAAATCTTACGTTACATTAACTTCTTAGGGTAGTAACCTCCCATACTCTAGAAACAGAGAAGACTTCTTCACAGCTTCCCACATACGGGCAGCGTAATGAAACCTGGAGATATATAATAAATTAAGAGTGATAAGAACACTGCAAGATTGAAGATCTTAATTAGCTAAACAGACATGCTATGTATTCAGTAAAATTTAATAACAATAACACTACAAAATACATAGTGTGCCGACGAAAATATTATTCAATTTACGAGAACAAAAAAAAACTTTCAGTTCATGTTATTTTTTGAGGGTCTGTGTGTCACAGGACGCGATACTGATTTCAAAGTATCACGTTTTTTTTTTTTTTCCTACATAATTTCGTAATAATTCCAAATTTTCTTACCAGTTTTTCTCAGACAAAGCAGTGTGTGTTAGAGTACTGCGTGGCACCGACATTAACTGTTGGGTTAAGGACCTTCCCAAGCTGTTGAATCCTGGGTGACCTCTATAGTTGGGTAAAACACCTGCAAAGGAAAATAAACACAAGAAATCCATCACTATCTTTTCTCATGTGTCACTCCATTTTGTTTCTTCACCAGAGATAGCTGAAGGTTTTTGATAATGTAATGATATCACATTATCAAAAACCTACAGCTTCTTCTAACTAACCAAGAAATTACAATTCAGTCTCTTGTACTACTTCTTTAAGTTTATATCTGCAAAGACCACAAGGTGGACCTACTGCAGTGCTGTAAACTGTTTCAACAAAAAAACCATGAATTTAGCTGAGCTGCAACTGTTGCAAAAAACAGTCCAGTTTACCTATACATTAACTATTTTGAGGGTTTAACCCTCACCACTTACACTTCGACATAAAATCTCACGTTTTTGTGATAAAATTTTTACAGATGTGCAAGGTAAATAAATAGGCTTAATGAAGGATCTATAATTTTTCACACAAACCTTTTTCTTCTGCTTCTCTCTCGGGTAAAAGAAATAAATTAGCTACTTCCATGTGCAAACTTTCATCTTTGATGGGAATAAACTCCATCCAGACTGACCCTATTAAAGAGATTTTAAAATAATGTCTAATGAGCATAACTGGGTACAACATGGTGCACTAGCTACCAACATCAATGGTAGCGTAAAAATGTTTTATAGAAGTAAGAAAAAAAAAAACATACAATAAATTTAGGCTGTGGCATCAATCAGAAGCTATTGTTACACTTAACCTGAAATATTTTTTCTTGCACAGGCAGCTTGAATATATAAATATAATCCAAGCCTTTTTCACCACCAGAAAGCATGATGTTTTTGATTTTATAAATTTGAAACTTATGGCTGGTTTTGGAAGATGTTAAATATTAGATGAGCAGTGCTTATATTTATTTGTGGGTTCTTAAAATTACCGTATTCACTCGTTAGCATTGTGGCCCTCTGATCACTAGTCAACTAATCTATTGGTTTGTCAGTTCTTGTGAATGATAGTTAATCATAACTACAATTCACTTAATTAATCCAGTTGATGCTATAATAGTTGTTTGTTTTATAAAAAAAGTGTCTAAACCACAGCTGGCCTGAGTGACACATTATAGTCAATATTCTTAGATTAAACCCAGCTTGAGAAGTAGGATTAGGACGTTTATGTCCTTTGGATATTGGGTTAATAAGTTAACCACATGTAGAAACTGCAGAGAAATTTAAAGTATCCTATACCAGTTAAATTTTTGTGTGATTTTTATGCTTTTAGAGATCAATGTAACTAACAAAACCTATTAGTAAAATACTTGTGTGATGAGTTATATACTAAGAAACTTGAATTTTATTATGCTTGTGTAGATGTTGAGATTGTTAGCTTTAGCATAGAGATTAAATTGGTAATTTTTTTGTCTTAGCTGTATGTATTACACGTGTAAGATAGTTTTTGATGTTTTACCTTTTAACACATATGATTTTAATTGTCTAAGAAACGCACAAAAATTATGCCGTGTTACGTTTTGATAACACTAGAATAATCAAAATATTTTGATGGTTCAAACAGCCAGACATTTTGAAATATTTTTCTAGCTGTTAGACTTCCATGTATGAACAAGCAATACAGAAACCTGTGCACCTGAATTTGGGTTTAGATTGCATGTAACCTATGGACTCGTGGGATACCCGACACAGAAGAAGCCTGATTAGCTTAGCTAACATAATACTACTGTTTTTCCCTTCCAGTTTTTTTTTGTTGAAACTGTTCTCTTAACCTACTACACATTCTTATATTTGCAAGTTTTTAGCACCATAGGTGTCACTCTTTCTTGACAAAATTTTCAGTTTCTCAGTCATATATATATATATATATTAACAAAACTGGTAGCAAATACAGGGGTCCAGACCCCCCCTTATTGGGAAAACTTTTTTCTAAAAGGACAGATGGCAAAATCGACCTAGAAAATCCCAACTACACCCCATTCCAGAAAAATTGGGATATGACACATTCATTGTTATTTGTTACCATTTACAGGGTGGTAAATCATGCATGACTAATGAGAACGTAGGCAAGAATTGTGGGAACACTGTCCCAGTGTGCTGACTTTGCTCTGAAACTAATTCCATAAAGAGATCTAAAGACATGTACTGGCTCTACCCACAGCATTTAGTGATAGATGGCAGTAATACCCAGTTAATGGAAAAACTCTGCCTAAATGCTGTAAAACATAAAGTTAAGTTTTTGTTCAGCTTGCTCACCCTGAGACAGGATAACCACCACGAAAGTTAAAGATCAGAATACCACAGTTTCACCTATGTTTATTGGTCAGTTTTTATTCAGCTTGCTCACCCTGAGACAGGATAACCAAGAAAGTTAATACCACAGTTTCACCTATGTTTATTGGTCAGTTTTTATAGTAAATGTTGTTTTAAGCAAATGGCATAAAATTACTCAATACAACACAATATGTGGACCCCTCTAGTCATGAACAGTACAAAAACAAGTTAGTTATTTCAGGGTTAAGTTATAGAAAGAGTGGTTAACACTGTTCATGTTTCTTGCACATCTAACAGCAGTATTTAAGGCATATCTTCAAGATAGGCAAAATATAACATTCCAAACTGACGTTTCTAGTTCTCGCATGTACATGTTATAATAAAATAGTCATAAGCATCTCATATTTATGACTACTTTTGTTGTATACATATTTATCTATGAATGAGTATCTGGCAGTATTTTTTAGAAAGGGGTTCCAACTTACATAAGTAAATTAATTCAAAACTTTCCAGCAAGTGCGATATTTTTGAATAAATCTAATTTTACCCAATTAAAACTAGGCACGTTTTTTTTTTAAATTATCTACAATTTACATAAACTACAGAATTGTAGGAAAATTAAAATCACATTTTTTCTTCATAAAAATAGAACAGAGCATTAGAAATAATTTTAACTCGCCTGTGTGTTTCAGTTTTGAATTCTGAAAGACGTTTAACAAAAGTTCCTCCATGTCGCACACCGTGGAAGGTGAAAAATCTCCCCGCTGGCATTTGTTCTGTAAGAACACTGCATAAGAACAACATTATCTTAAGAAGTGCATGACAAGAAATAACCAAACTATTCTGAACCATCAATTAAACATTTAAAAGCCCCATTTTTAATTAATTATGTTGTATCGAAAGCAGGTTAAAATTAATCACAATGTTCTTTCTGATGATAACTTATTATAAAATGTGAACACAAAAAACCACAATAACAGCTAGTTAAAACTGAACTTTTGAGGGGAGTAAATGAAATTATGAGGTATTAGAGAATATATAATATGTGGGGTTAAATAAAATACGAGACATTTAACTAATAATGGCTGAACTATTGTAGAAGCAAGATCTAAAATATAATTTCAGTAATTGTTAACTGTGTTATGTTTAAAATATTTTTAAGTACACAATGATTTATCATTTCAGCTTGTACATATTTAATATTCATAGTGCATAAGCAGTCTTAATTAACACAAATTATCTTGAATTAAAAATACCTATACAATCTAAAACTAAATTATTAACCTGGTAGTTTCTGCTCATAATTTCAACGAATAATAGATTGAAATTAGCTTAAATGAAAAAACTGTGTTGAAAACTGTTTAAAGGGGTGACAGTGGAAATCTAGTTGCAAGGGTGAGCTTCTAGTTTCAAAATTTCTGGCATGTCTAATTTGAAAACTGCCCCCAAATAAGTATAGACGTTTCCAGACCCGTTACTTTTTATACCTGCAACTTTATTTTTATTTTCTTAGTGCAAAGCTACACAATTAACTATGTGTACTCTGTTAACCGCAGGCAATATTTAGCACGTACCCACTGGGAAACAATAAGCTTGCTACTATAAATAACTGCTACAACCTAGTTTTAATGGAAAAAAAGAAAAGATTTTAACTTGTATTAATTTCCAAATGTCCAAGTTTAAATGTAAAATATCCTCTTAATTAAACAAGCTTGCGATACACGAAAGACCAGATCATTCCGTATCTTTTATTATAAACGTTCACACGATACATGCCACAAGCATACTGTGTTTAAAACTGCAGGAAGAAAAGAAAACTGAATCCAATGACATACCTCCCATGTCCGAAAGTTTCATATATATATGTTCACACATGCAAGACCAACTATACATATGGGTACGGCAGATATTGTGCGATTAAAATAATACGATACACTCTTCTTTTAGAAAAACCCTAGGGGGACTAAATGAAAAAATTTAGTGCTAAAAATGTAATTGGCCTAAAACTAATGTCTCATGACAAGTATAATTAAAACTTCACAAGATGTAAAAAGGACAATAAAGCTAAGGACGACAAGTACCTAGGTGGGGATAGTAGTCCGTAGTATCTTCTATGGAAGCAGATAACTCGTGAGGGTTTGTTGGTGTTGCTGGCTTTAACATCTCAGCAGACTGAATGAACCTGAAACAAATGGGTAGAATGTTTCAACAGAATTACTACACACATACACTGGCATACAACAGTCCTTTCCCTTTCGTTAGAGCAGTAAGCAAGGTTTCCATTACTTTGATACTTGTGGTTATATACAAAAAAATTTTGGAATCTGGAGTTTAAGGCACCGATACAAAAATTAAACACATTTATATTTTTAACATAAAACAACACACTTCCTGCTGTTTCTTCATTCTTGACAATATTTCAAAATATTTGCAGTATACTTTTATAAATAACAATCGTGTATGAAGTGACAATGTTAACAATATTTTCACTTGCTCAAACTAATTTCATTGCTTTACAAATCTTAATAATTTAACAAACAACGATTTTTCGAAATGTCTATCAAATAAACTGAAGTTTACAAGTCGTTGTAACGTTCTCCAGTGATTAACTTGTTTTACAAAAAAAAAGCATTTTGACTTTAGTTAATGAATACAAAAGAAGGGAGTTAATTTAACAATTTCATAACTTGCCTGAGAAGATTGGGATCGGTGAACCAATCTTGCACAAGAATGACCGTGTGACAAACAGTCAAGAGAAAAGCAGTTATCTGTAACGACTAAAGCAAAAAAAATCATTTATGAATTAATAACCTGCACTGTGAATATAACAGTGAGTTTTCAAACTAAATGTAACGAGATGATAAACAAAGCAACATCATTATTTGTATCACCTGTATAGTTGTAGAATACAAACAGCAATAGGTAATAGAAGAATACTCTTATAACGCACAGTGCCTATTACTACTACTAAATCTGATTAGAAACACAATCTCAAGCAAAAATATTTGATCAAAACTTTCATATTACACTGATCAGTACCTGAATTTGGAGAGCATTTTCAGTTGCTCTATAATCTGTTCCACAAGGGATTTTTTTCTCAAACTGAACCATGTGATCCATTACTGAAGCACTAAGTAAAGGCTGAAAAGAACACAATAATCAGAAACACTTTATCTTACAGCAAACCTAAAAATTTCTCAACATAAATGGAAGTTAAAAAAAACACGTCAGAATAACACTTTACTCGTGCAGAGAAAATTACTTCTTAAGTTGACAGGCCGGAAAATTATACAGAAGTATCAAATATTTAGGAATTTGGTTACAAGAGAAATTAGAAAATCATAAACAGCTGAATGTTAACATTAGAATTAGTGGTAAAGATGTTTTAAGTACTTTAAAGGCAGGAGAAGCACATGTAAAAGGCTTAGCCTCCTGAAAACAGATGGTTCATTTCTGACTGCTGGAGGGGCACCCCCCGTCCTCCCGAACACCTATCATGGACAAACAAATAAAATGCCCTTTAAAGAGCATTATTCACTAACTCAAAAACAGTATATGTAGCAGTCTACCCAAACAAAAGACCCATGATCAGAGGTAGGCAAACTTATAAAATGGAGATTATGCCCCTAAAAGATGATGGCATTAAGATTTTAGCTGAAAACTAAAAGATAGCTGAACTTTTAAATATTTTCTGTTTTTAAAAGAAGAGATATCAGCATTGTTCTTGACCATGAACATTCTATGGAAAAATGTTATAACTGACCTGAATCATTTGAATATTAAATCCTTAATAGTAAATACGAAGATTTAGAGATTAAAAACAGATAAAGTACCAGGACCTGACACGGTGGTTTTTATTATTTTAAAAGAAGTCAAAGGTCAGATACGCAAGCCCTTATCACATTTTTGATAAAGTACCAGAACCTGATGTGGCCTTTTCTCTGATTTTAAAGAAAGTCAAAGGTCAGATATGCAAGTCCTTCTCACATTTTTGATAGATCAACAGACAGTGGGTAGGTGGCTGAAGATTGGAGAGATGCTAATTTTACTCCTATTCTTAAAGAGGAAGACAATGTTTGCCCTGGAATTATAAGCCAATTAAATTTACGTCCAGTGTTATTTTTAATATGCGACAATCAACTTACATAACGAGTCGCTAAAAACAGTAGTGGAGGTTGGTACTTTAGAAGAAACAATGAAGGGTGTGTTTAACTTTTCTCAAGGAGGGGGAAGAGGTTGACTTTGAAAGACAACACGGTCTCTTGTCATCAGGATGTTATGTTACATGCATGTACCAGACACTATTGACTAGAAGAAACAATGGTGTTTAACTTTTCTCAAGGAGGGGGAAGAGGTTGACTTTGAAAGACAACATGGTCTCTTGTCGTCAGGATGTTATGTTACATGC